AAAGTAAATCTGTTTGCATGGTCATTAATTTGCTACAATCTATAACATTTTGTTGACCATAGTTTTCATGACAGACGACATTTCTTGTTTTAACTCATCCATATATCACCGATATATCAAACAATGCCTCTCTGTCCATTCGTTTCTTTTGGCGGAGTCGACATTATGCTTACTTCCAGCTCAGCTTTGTGTTTCTTCGATTTATCCATTGCAATGTCAAACATTTTCTCTCCATTCTAAAGAAAGAAAACGGTTAACATTGTAATCCTGAGAAAACTTTGCCGCAGATTCAGCCGCTTTTGTTTAGACATTTCTAGGCATTCTTTATTTCTTTGAGAACAACTTAGCAAAGACTCAGAAACGAAACAAGCGGTAAAGACAATACCGAGGTGAGAGTTAAAAATGTATCTGATCATTTTGGTTGCATTTTCTCATTAAGTTGTGAAACGTTTCAGAGAAGTGACGAGTTCCGAGTATTTCTTCACTGCCCAGTTTGCAACGTCTGCTTGACTACTCTACCTAGATTTTACAGGCACTTTATATTCTATCGGAGAGTTGAATCAAAACATTCCTGAAATATTTAGAAGTTATAAGGATGAGAATAGTTGGTCTGTCCTGTCAAAAATGTAACAGAATGAACCGTTGCAATAGCTTCATGTACACAAGCCGGATTCAGCGAATGGTTTGTACAGGACATGAATGTAGCTTTGGATTAATTTCGCAGAGGCATTTGCACGCCTGATTGGTAGTCCGCAGCATAGTTTATGCCTGATCACGGCCGTCATCAATCTGAATATCTTTCTTCTCTGCTTTTCTCAAAATCAATCCAGAAAATTTCTCTGCTATTTTACTGCTATTCTCAATGAAATTGAGAAACAACTTTACCTTCAGCACACTCCACACATCTGATTTTTGTGAGTTATATCGGGAGTGCTATCAGAAAGTAAGCGATCACACTTGCTTTCCTTGATCTGATTTACTATTTTATTTCTCACCTGCTTTAACAAAAAGCACACTAATTCATTTTGAGCAAGGGGCGACAAATAAAGTTGTACTGAGTTTTTCCCGGCCGAATTGTCATTAACTGTTCACGAAGAACAGGCTCATACTTGACCAACAAACGTACAAATGCTGAAAATTTTCCACTTGTTTCCTGGCCATCTTCATCATCCTGGATTAGTCTCGGATACCACACGGTATACAATGTTGATTGGCTGGAAACCAGACGATATCAAGTAGTCTAGACAAAATTCCACACCACCTCTTTGTTACAATTGCCTTCCTTCAATTAGCCGGATTGTTAGCTCCTTACTGTTAGGGAATGACAGCAAACGATTTACCCGATTCGTGTTCATATCATTTTGGATGAAGTTTCATCAGTTTCTCAAACCCACATCAGTCAAAAGCTAGACTATCCAGTGGGAAAGATACTGCAGCTAAAGAAGAAAACAGCGCCTATTTTAAACGAGCATACATAATCCGTTTTCACAATCTTAACTCGTCTTCTTGCAACGTTCTATGAAACGGTTTTGTTGTTAACTTCTTATCCTCAGCTTTGTATTCGCTACAGGTAACGCCACCTATTGAATTCATGATCGACACGCTTCACGACAACAAATCAGATCAGAACAATCTTAAGAGGCAACAGATAGACTTCCATAACATCGATTTATGTTCGTATTATCATACCATACTTCCAACCACTCAACTTTGGGCGCATTTTCGGCAACAACATTTAAAACATTTCCACTCCATCCATACTTTCAATATCGCTTACTTTTTCCCGGCGATCAACGTTTGTACTACCAATTTCATCTTCGGTTGCAATGAGGCTGGACTTTACCATGGTGCGATAGTTTGCTTGCCTCAGATCCAGCGAGCAAAACTGAGTGGTGCATTTTACGCTACTCCAGAGCCACTCATAACAGATTGATAAACGGTTAGAGACCAGACAAACTCAGCCTCCTGGTCCACCAGCTTCGGGGATGGAATGAATGTGGCTTCTCATTTCTTAACACGGACTCTTTGTAGCCCACCGCCAGACCCGCTGCCTTGCGGTCAGATTTTGAACAAATGGCTTTGGTTGTGAAACATAGTCGTCCTCCTATTTAGGCCTGGGAAACCTGACTGTATCCTGTCAACGCAATACTATGAAAACTACAGTAAACGGTGCTGTATCTTCTACGACGAGCAGGGTAGATAGGGGTATGGATGCTACTAACTAATACTTCCCGTTTACTTATTCCTCCTCTTACGCTTTTTCACCCTTATCGCCCCTTTCCAACTTCACTTTTATTCATACAGACTTCAATTCCCAATTTTTGCTCCTAGCCCACCTTTCTTTGATAGGCGTATAGCTTCCAGGTTCAACTCACATGCAAACGCGGTGCGTCAATCCTGCCCTGTCGACAAGCCCATATCCAACCAAGCAGCCAAGCCAACTTCATCGGCTTCCATTAGGAGCCCTCGATCCTCCTTCAGATGGGCATGCCACAATGTACGCACACTGCCACAGATGGGTCAACAGGCAACACTTGCCCGAACACTATAAATCCTATCGATCGATATCTGCTGCTTGTCGGAGATTCTCCTGCAAGACTCGAGCTCTGTGCTCACTTTGCTTTGCTCTTTAGGTAACACGAGCGGTACATTCTTATTGCGCCTATCCGGGAACAATGCAGCTTCGAGCACCGGTCAAGCCGGTGTCAGTTTTGCCCTGAGTCTCCGGGCTGAAGCTGCTCTGCTTGGTTGGATTCCAATCAGTAGCCGGTTGTGTGCTGTCCGATTAGCTGGCTCGTTCAAAGCTTCGACGTCGCGCGTGACTAACAGGTATCTACTCGTTATCGCTGCCTGTGCACCCACAAACTCTAGCGATGACTCGGTAAAAGACGACTTCTATCGCCAATTGAACGAGCTCCCTCGACACAGAAGAAACTCGGACACTGTTGTGTTGGCTGGGGATCTGAATGCTCAAGTTGGAAAATTATCCACTGAAGAATTGCATCTGGGCGATCAACACGGTGTAGGTTCACGTAATGATAACGGTGCGTGTCTACTTCATTTGTGTGAAGTGGCTCGCTAGTTTCTTGCGACCACTAGCTTCCGACACAGCACCCGCCGGAGAATGACTTGGCGCCCACCAGCCTCGAACTCGCTATGGACTCAAATCGATCACATTGCGATAAGTTACCGATGAGGAGGCTGCGTCCAGAACCGTCGCTCGATTTGAAGCACGGGTTTGAACACCTACTATACACTTGTATTTGCTGACCTGCTGATGCGTTCTGATGGACTCACACGACGACGTTGCGAGAGCATTGACACCAGTCAACTGGCGAAGCCAGCTGTTCGGAATACGTGTGGAAGTATGCTGACAGGCGCGTTGAGTAAGCGCTCACTGGATACAATGGAGCTTACTTGTCTCATGTTTACCAGACCTTACTAGCAGCAGGCAAATTCTGATGTGGTAAATCCAATAGACAACATGTGCATTGGGTCTCTTCGCAGTCTCTGGAAGTCATCGATGCTTGCAGGTACATTCCGGCTGGAAGCGAACAAAATGAGACTCGCAAAACCCCCTGGGCAAAACTCCGTGCTAGCCTGAAGTGGGACCGGGAATCCTGGTGGTCTCTAAATGAGTCAGACGCAGAAGTGGCCGCAACCCTTGATAGCCATCAGAAGTTATTCCCTTTAATACGGGAAACGGGCACCATTAGACATGGTGTTAGTGAAACTATACGTGAAGAGAGTGAACAGCCTATTCATAACTTGTTAAAACGCTTGGATCATTGGACTGAGCATTTTGATAGCTAATTAATTGGTTGGAATTGTCAGATTTCTAACTGGCCCCCGGTTGCCCTGTTCTCTGGGTTGTCCCTTTGGATGCGCCCTCTCGCTTAAAAGTCTATCCTGAGATCTGACCGCTGAAGTTGAATGAAGCTGCGGGACCAGATGATCTTCCCCCAGCTCTCTTCAAATTCGGGGGACTTGATCTCGTGGATGCTTTGCACGAGTTACTCGTGAAACTGTGGGAGCAGGAAACTGTCCCAACCGGCAACAGGCGCTCTGTTATTGTCCCGATCTTCATGGGAGACTCACGTTCGGAATCCGGTAACCATAGTGGAATCAGTCTGATCCCCATTGACTCCACATTATTTGCCTCCTTAATCCATTATATACTGACTGGTGATCCTGAAAGCCAGATTCTTGAGGAGCGGGCAGGTTTTCCTCGTGTTCGTGGGTGCATCAACCACATATTCACATTACGACAATTTTTAGAACACCGTCACAAATATCGGCGTCCCACCGTAGTCAACACAATAGCTGAAGTGTTTTCCATCTCTAGCTTACGTGCATAATGCTGATGAAGATGAATAATGGGCGTTTTACTGTGTAAACAATGATGTTTCTATTGTTTATCGTAGTTTATAGACGTCATGTGTTAGGTCTGAAGGGAATGCTATACTCATGTTTTTGTAATTTGGGAAACAAACTGCTCTTCGTAATTCCACCTTTTACGCGGACTTACGGCTCAGGTGGGAAACCACGGCTACCAATTAATGCTGGCCGACTTGGCTACTTAGAAACGGCAGACTTAAAAGTACATTTAAGAGTATCTAATTCATCAATACTCAAGTCAATTTGAAAAGTGCTAGGGACGAACGCAAGCGCACTAGTCGCAACTGGCACCGTAGTTTAACGATGCGCACCAGTTTTTGCACCTGAGGTTGCCATCTGTTTCTTCTAATGTCTGGTTCGACCCATTTGTACGGTTGTGAAACCTGACCCATTAAATCGGCCAACATAAATGGGCTAGTCACCCTCGACCACTTGTGTCTTCGCAGTTTGGCTCATATCGGATGAGAACACTGTTTGAGCAATAAGCGTGTTCGACTCCTCGTTTATGACACAGGAAGACTAAGTGAAGCGCTCAGCACCGTTTTATCACGCACCAGGCTCCGATGGCTGAGCCGGGCGTAGCACATGCCAACCCACAGACTCCCGCGACCTGCGTTGCTTACACACTGCGGGTGTGAAGGAGAGGTGGCCAAGCTATGACTTGGGCAAACGGGATAAAAGCCCTTACCACGAAATTGACCACGATAGGTGCCTCTCGGCTGTCTGGTTAGCGACCGAAAGACGATGAAGAGTTTGGCTGGATACACTTGTTGCTATGGCTAGGAGCCGACTTCAGTGGTGTTCGAGTTGCGGGTTTATTTGTCTCTCCGCCTCTCGCTTATCCACCCGCTCTATCCATGATCTCAAATCATATGTAGAATATAATACATTTTCACGGTACATAAGCCGGCTGTCAGCTCTCCGGAACGATATCCATCGGCTACCGGTGACTCAGCCAACGTGCCATAGCATTTTTGTTTTCTTTACTAATGTATTGAGGCACGGTAGATGGTGTTTTCCATTGCTTGCTGACGTGTATAATGGGATTCCGACCCCACGACTTCTGGATGCTAGCACCTAGTGTCACTTCCCCCTTTGTTCTCGTTAAGGACAGCGTTAAAGTTTTGCAAATGCCGATATCTTATGTAGTAAGATCAAGTTCTTATCGGAGATAACCAGTAGTTAAAAAGAATCTCCGCAGTGAAACGACGTTTCTCCAAGCGATATTTACAAAAATTCAGTTGTCGTTGGCTTTCAACTCATATGTCACGTAATGCACAGAATTGAGCATTCAAGCGCATATGTGCTTGATTACTTCTTTCGGCTCACCAGTGGGGTCTTTTGGGGCCTCAACAAACAAAAACTGATGACCCTCAACCAGGTCAATATCAGCCTTTAATGAATCCAACTGGTTTTGCAAATATTCTCTGTATGCCTTACCCTTCAATGTATCATTAATGGAAGCTAATCCTAGGAATTTTCGATTGTATTTGTCCCAGGCGGCCTTTAGGCCATTAAGTAAATTCTCTCGTTGTTCTGGTGTCAGAAGGTAATCGGTACCTTGGATTTCCTTCTCGTTCACGTACTTGCTAAGAAGATCTCTTGTTTCTCTTAATGCATTTTTCCATTTAACAATGCACGCTGGCACTTCACCGAATCCAGGTTTGTAGACGTACAAAGGTTCTAAGCCAGAGACGGTGCGGTTCGACTTTAGCTGCTGTCTATCACCTTTCCGGGTATCCACAATTCTCCTTGTGTCTCCTGGAGGTACTCTGAAGCCTGGTTTACTGGTTATTGCAGAAATTGCATTGCGGGTTATCCAGTTCACAGCGTTCCTTTCTCTTTTCAGACATCGAATAGGGACTTCATTGGCACCATCGATTGGTTTGGTCTGCTTTATATTAGGAAGTATTGGCTTGGGATCTGCTAGGCTTTCAGTCTTCGAACCGGCTGAACCGTCTTCATTTTGACGTATGCGCTTCTCTGCAATTCTACGACAGTCAGCAATAGAATGATTCATCAATTTGACGTAGGGTTTCTTGCAATGCTTTTTCATGTAGGTTCTTTTGTTTGGATAAACCACCGGAAGGGGTTGGTCATGGGGTGGCGGGCCAAAAGTCTTCATTGGGTATTTTTTAGGCGGTACACCCAGCTTTGCCTTGTCTATTCGAATTTTTGGCAGGCATTTGTATCTCGTGCCCTCATCTGTTCTTGTTTGGGGAACCAAGTTGTAAATATATTCCCTTGGTCCAATGTAGGTCTTTGCATTATTTGCACTCCTGCGACAAGCAACCTCATTCATTGTATCATCTGCTATGCTATCATAACGACTTCCTACTGTCCGTTTTAAAGTTCTAGGCGGATCAATAAAGTGATCGATTAATTTTGACCCACTTGTTTTCTACTTTTCTACTTAGGAGTTTAAGCTTTTTATGCGGTTGGATATAACAGCTGAATAACTACATTCTCATAAATTTATTCAAGATGAAAATAGTTCCCACTACTCATTCAGAAATTCTGTTCAAAGTAGGGTCCATTGTTCTTCGTTACTCCGTAGAAAAGTTCCACCATCACGACGGAACTGGACTTAACCTGGTGCGATGGTTTGTGTGCTTTGATGCATGCTGGGTGGTACATTTGGCAATTCCAAAACCACTTATACCAGACTGGTTAATGGTTAAAGGCCTGAGAAACAGCCTGCTGGCCTCCCAACTTTGGGGGTTGGAATGACAGTGGCTGCTTATTCCTTAAGCCGAACTCTTTGTAGCCCAGTACTGAAATCCCGCTGCCTTGCGGTCAGGTTTTTGGACCAAATGCCTTGGTTGGAATCCCTAATCGTTCTACTGCATAGGCCTGGGTAACTTGACAGTATCCTGCCCACGTAATGCAATGAATTTTCCCTAAAAGTCTTTCTTGATGCTTTAGCTCTCGCAGACTAAAATTAATGGCGTTCTAGCTGCAGCATTGAGCAGGGTGGATAGGGGTTTGGATACCACAATTCAGGTCTTCTTGTCTTCTTACTCCGCTATTGAGAATTTTCATCCTTATCGTCCTGTTCCAACTTCACTTTATTCCCCTTTTTCAACCCCTAATTCTTGGCCCTACATCATCTTGCTTCAATAGGCATTTGTCTTCTAGTTTCCGCTTACACACAACCACAGTGTCTCGCTTTGGTTCAGTTGACAAACACCTGGGTACACTCAGGGTAAACTCCTTGTTGCGTAGCTCCCTTGTACACTGGACTTCATCGACCGATATTTGCTGTTTATTAGAAACCCGCCTGCAAGATTCAAGCTCGGTGCTCACCCTGCGATCTCCCACATGTGGCACTAGCAGCACTTTCTTACTGTGTTTCCGGATAGACGCAGCTTCAAGTGCCGGGCATTGTTTTGTGCCTTCGCGCTGTAGATGCCCTGATCGACTGATTCCTAGTCGACAGGCAGATATGCACCGTCAGACTGGCTCTTTCAAAGTCTCGAGGTCGGGCGGGGACATACGTTGGCTCTAGATCATTGCTGCATCCGCGCCCATGAACTCTAGCACTGATTTGGCGAAAGATCATTTCTGTAAACAACTGAACGAGCTCATTCATTATAACGACAAATAATGTGGCACTTGCTGTTGATCGGATCATTCAAGTTGTAAATGTATCCACTGATGAGCTGCATCTGGGCAGCCAACAAGATGTGGGTTCCAGTAATGTAAGTGATTGCTATACCTGTGTGAAGACACCCAAATAGATGATTGTACAACTTACTAGTGAGGTGGTGGGCGCAGAAGGCTGTCCCAGCAGACTGGAACTGCTCCGTTGTAGTCCCAATTTTCAAATGTGGCTCACCTTCTGAAGGCGGTAATCATAGAGGGTTCAGTCTGATCTCAAGTGCCTCTAAATTGCTTACGTCTGTCATTCTTAACAGAATGGCTGGTACCGTAAAAGCTAGGTTTGCTGGGTGCAAGCCGAGTTCTGTCGAAATCAAGGCCAGATTGACCAGAAACCAAAGAATTAGAAAAGCACTCCCAGAGCATACATAAAAAGGCAAAAATTAAACTTGGTAGAAATAAGACAAAATCCCTAATCAGCCTTCTTGGTCAAGTGTGACATGAGAGTTGTCCCCTTTGAACGACTAAACGTTGATGTGCAGCTCTTCGGCTCTCGAAAATAATAATAATAATAATAGGTATAGTTCTGATCGATTGAGAAACTGTGGCCATATTTGGCACAGATCATATTTTACAGAATAGATTATGCTCATGCATAAATAGTAAACAGTAGTGGGATTTTCATAGCTTTTGCTGATTCCTCGGTTTGTATTAACTAACAGGTGTGTATCAACGTAATGTGCACTAGTTGGAATAGTGGATAGTAAGAGCTCTAGGGGTGTCACACAGTATGAAATTTTTGTTTTTGTTTCCCTCAATAAGTGTTGTCTTGCCCTTCTAGGTACAAATCATCAAGTGATCGCTCCCAAGAGAACATGGTCATATTCGTGTTCAAATCTGGTTATTTAGTGAGTTTAACGCCAAGGGCCGTTGCGCTCTCACCCGATCTGATTTTGACTGGGAGCTTATTCCAAAGGACAGCATATCTGACAAGGACAAATTTAAACCGCAGATTTACCCTGCACCTGAGTACATTCACGGTAAACTCCGTGTTGCGTAGCTCCCTTGTCAAACTATGTTGTAGTTCTAGGGACGGCAAATAGCAGTGGGCGTTTTGATGAATCATGTTGTACAGAAGCACCAGGTTATGTCTCAATATTCTTAGCCAAGCGGATTGAGCTTGAATTGTTGGCAGTGGAGGTTTCGACTAGCAGACGTTTGATAAACGACCTTTGTACACTTTTCAGAGATACACTGTCAGATTTCCTCATGCTACCACAAACGATATTGCAGTATTCCAAAATGGGACGAGTGAGGATTTTAATGAGTTCTACTCTGCCTGGGGTTATGTGGATCTTATGTAATATATTAGTCATTGATTTTCTGACCCTAGTCAGGCGGTATTCCACTTCTTCAGAAAAGTTGAAGGTGAAAGTATACTTGATTCCGAGGTCGCGAGTAGACAGCTATACACAAAGGTGTTCGCCGTTGAGTGTAATTCATCCCTCGGGAATTGAACAGCCGCGATACATAATGCTAGATTTTTGGCCTAGAAGTTTATCATCCAGGTGTCACACCATTTCTCAAGGGAGTGGAGGTCTTCCTGTATGAGCATTAGTGTAACTTGAGGTTCAGCTCTTCGGCATTTGTAGACTATCTTTATGTCATCTGCAAAATAGGAATGACATGCCATGTCTGATAAACACAATGATGTCATTGGCGTAGAGCAAGAACAGGAACGGACGAAGTACACTCCCACTAGTGATTGGACGTGGTGCAGAATGGTGGTCGGCTATGGTATCTACCTGAGAATAACCGCTCAGGTATGATAATAGCCAGCCTAGGAATGGGTCCTGAATTCCAAATGAAGCAATCTTTTTCAGCAGCCGTTTATGCGGCACTCGGTCGAATGCCTTTTCCATGTCCAGGAACAGAAGTATGATTGCGTATCCTGAGTCAATAGAATCCGAAACATGGTTTAGATAATGTAATTGGCAGTTTATGGACGATCATTTGTTTAGGAAAGCATCCTGTGACCTTTATATATTAGCTCCAGCGAAGTGATGAATTTCATCACACCATTCTTAACCAGTTTCTCTAATATTCTGGCTACTACAGGGGTGTGATGGATTGGCCGGTAATTGTTCATTTCTTGTTTGGATCCATGGTTGTGACGTGGGATGATGAGCGATGTTTTCCACTGGTTTGGAAATTGGCTAGATTTCAACGAAAGTGTAAACATGTTCAGCAATAGTAACGGCATGTCAGGCCCTCCCAGTTTAATAACGGCTGGTGGGGTACCAACGTAATGCAGATGGGAAGGCGGTTTAGTAGAATTCATTAAATGCTGGATAGCAATGATAGAAAATCCAATGTTACGCAAGGCTTTGCACCCCAATGCCAGCATTTTAAGGGGTCGTCTCCGGGCTCATGGAGGTAACGCTTTGAAGATGTCGGTTGGATCATGAAGTGACTGTCTGTCTGTATTAACCAGTCCATCGATCAAGGGGGAGTTGTTATTGGTTCTGTGATGCAGAAATTTAACAAGTTCCTTCGTTTTACATGTCGTTCTTAGAACCATTTGTACTTCGTGTATCCTCTTCATCAACTGTATGTGCTTGACCCTGTCAAGAATGTTGTGCAACTGTACAAGCAAGGCGAAATTCCCCGTCGTTCTGTATCCAGCACTTAGCCTTCCATGTTTCCAGCTGACTAAATGCACGATTGCGTCTTTTTGGACACTTGTAATCCGCCTGTCCTGGGAAGTAAGGACAGTAATGGCCTGCTGGACCCAATGGTAGAAATAGTCTAGGCATTGCACTCATCGTTAGAGAAGAAGAATGAGTCCCAATCGGATGATCGGATAAATCGTTAGAATTGCTTCCAGTTTATCCTATGGGATACATATTGCGAAATATAAGCGTGTTTGATGGCGAATTTCATGCAGAAGGTGAATCGTACCATCTTGTGGTCACTACCACAGCTTGTCTAATACCCCTGTGCATTTGTGACCCCCAAAGTGAATATCAAGTCGAGTATACTGGTCGCACTTGCTGACTCAGTAACCTATGATATCAACCCACCAATTCTGAGAGAGGAAATAAAGCTGTATGTGTAGACGAGGATGGTTGAGACGACCAGTTCATCTTTGGTAGGTTAAAATCACCAGCAATTATCTTCCGTCTGTGTGGCATCTCAGCAGCAAACTCGAAAGCTGAAGTGATGATGGTAACCCTCATATTTGACGCAGTTGGTGGGTTGTAAACACATCCGAGTAGAACGTGAGAACCGGTTCCTGAGACGGCGAACCAAAGAGATTCGGGAACATTTATTAACTGTGGATGATCAAGAAGTTCTGCTGTAAATGTACAGCTTAGGTATATCATGCATCCACCTCCTTTGCCTGTGCCGCGATCTTTTCGGAAGAGCTGATAATTAGGAATCATTAAGGTGGAGTCTAATGTATCGGTGGAGCACCACATTTCAGTAACGAGGATTGCTTGTGGGTCGTTGATATGCGCAAGCATGTCTTGGAAGTACAATTTGTTGTTACTAGATCTGGCATTGAGTAGAAGTATAGAGAACGGACTATTGGGTGTGGGGTCATCGTGTTGCGGTTCATTGTTTTACGCGTTGTTGTAGTTAGGTATTATGGAGGAAGTAGATATAAGTGAGAGTACTGGGGTCGGGCCTACTTTTAACAGGCGTGGTAATATGGGTAATGTATCATTTGTGATTGCCGATATCGCTGTGAACATGGAGGTTGTAGCAA